ATAAAATAAAAATAATATAATTTTTTATATTGATACAAAATAATATATATATATATATATATATATATATCAGTACTAATTTAAAATAATAAATTAGTCTTCAAGTAAATAATATAATAAATTTTATATTCAAGTTAAATCAATTTTATTAAGTATAAAATAACATACGATAAACTTGTGGTATGTTTTCCATACATAAATCTGAAACAATTCATATTAAAAAAAAGTAAAAAATGGGTGTAAACTTCTAACTGTTTCCACGTTTTCGCTAGAGCGCCCAAATCCGATATATGTTTGACACGAGTTTGTCGTAATGCTGAAACTATGGCAAATTCACGTTAGGGTACAAACGAAGCGAAGCAATGTGAAGTCATAGATAAAAAAGAAAGATTAGGCCAGAGAAAGGAAATGAAATAACATTAGTTATGTGAAGTCAATTACTGCTGCAAAATGAACCCTATAATGCTGGTACCATATACGTATTCAGTGATTATGAAAATGACTTAGTTAAAGTTTTTTCCGAAATCAAAAGAGCGATTAGGTTTAAAAAATAAAAGATGTCTAACCTGTGTTTTTGGTAAACAGTCGCCCGGGCCTGGTCACTGCGACCCCCTTTGTGAGGAGGCACCGAACTGAGGCCGAGTTTTTGGGGTTAGCTCACCCTTGTGGGATCGCGACCCTTTGTCCCGCTTTCTTGAAAGATGGAAAAGTGTGAAAGCTTCACGAGTCCGGAGATACCACACAATTTTTGTCCTTGGAAAAAATTCTAAAACTTTTTAACCTAATATTTCGTATAAAAAGTACAATTTTATCAAATATATTAAATTACATTTAATTTTATATGATTATATTAATTGTAGCCTAATAAATAAGAAAATTTGATACCATCATTATATAAAACACATACAAAAAATAACATAATACGTATAAATGTGCTTTAGTTACTTCGCAAATAAAATATTATTTGTCTATAGAAAAGAAACAAATAATATAATAGTAATGCAATGAGAAAAAGAAAACATGCTAATTTTCTTAGAAAAGTATGAATACCAATATTTACAATAAAAAAGTCTTTTAAAATTACTACTTTTTTGTTGTGAGCGTTTAAATATATGGACTCTATAAGAAATTGGTTCTCATAAATAATGATCATATATTATTTATTTTCAATTTTAAATCATTAAAAAATCTAAAAATTTGTATACATGATGTATATTTTAATCATGACTCCATAATAATAAACTTTACAAATGACTAAACATATAATGGAATTCTAATTCTTCTGTTGTCAATATTTTAACAAATGTTATACTTCTCAATATTTTCTCATTGTTTTGTTTTATCATTGCAGAAAATAGATTATATTGTTCGTCTATATTCTAGATAAATAACACTGAAAATGAAATGTAAGAGTATCAAAACAGTTTTGAATGTTAGAATTAAGTTGTACTTCTTATAGAAATATTTATAATCTCATTAGTGTATTGTTCTTGAACATATGTGCAATTACTTTAGAGGTACTTTCAGGTAATGTATGATGATTTCAAAAAATAATTTAGCACCTCGGGAGAAGTACATGTAACCAAGATTTTGGAAAGTCGGCTTTTATTTGGAGATAAAATTCATTCCCACCTCGTGGGGCGATGCATCAATGGGGTAGACACCAATATACCTAGAGATAGATGAATGTAGTAGTTTATACAGTGATAAAAAAATATCAGCAATTTTAGTGACACCGTTAGTTATTTCATAGAGATATATATCCTTTGTTAGTAGAAGTATATGAACTAATAATAGTATAAACAAGATGTACCTTGTTATAAAGATCATATAATCATGAAGTTTGACTATATGTGGGTCAGAATGTTTCTTAAGTTTGACAAAAATTGGCGTTTTGCCGAATTAATTAAGAGGAATTTTGCAATAGTATTGATGTATTGGACTTCATCGACTATGAATGTTCTTATGAGAACTTTAAAACTAAAATGAAAGAAAATCTTTGTGTTTTTTTTTTATTAGGAATTTTTTTTTATATATATTTTTGTTGGGGTTTGTAAGACGTTATTTCACTATTTTTATATGAGGACATCATTATGTTAATTCTAAATAAAAAAATCATATATGAGTTCATTTTTTTCTATATTTTACTTCATTTATGCAATGATATGTTTAATAAATAAATTAATTTAATTTACAAACTTACTTCGCGAAAATCATTCGATACCACGTGCATCGCACGTGCACTTTACTAGTATAAGAAAACGCTCGAGTACTAAGGTAAAACCCAACAGGAATTTAATCGCTTCTGGGCACATGGCATGACCCCTCTTTTGATCGGGGTGATAATCCAAGTAAGAACTAAAACATACCAAACAAATAAGGGTGATATAGGAAGAGACCTTTGGTCCACGCATTTGAAGCTTTGGACCTTCCGGATTGACAACAGTAATCAAGGTTTAACATATGTTCTTCGATTCCTTTGGTCGAAGTCCTATTCACTGCTTTCGCATGTTCAATGACACTTTTTGTATCAGTTTAATTCCACGCTTTCAGCTTTCAAAGGGTGATTGGATATAAAATATTTTAGTTTTGATTGAATTTATTGGGTAAAGTGGGTTATATTTTAATATAGTTTATTAAATTTGGTAGGGTTTTGAGTTTGTACTCGAATAATATTTAAATGTAATAATTAAAGTTGATGTAATGTGAAAGTGGAAGAAATATAATTGGGAGTGTTGAGTAGTTAAAAATATGTGTGTATATGAATAGTAAATTAAATTTGATGAGATGTATAAAGATGATTAGTTGATATTATTTAATTATACTGCTAATAATGAGAAGATGATAACAAGTTACATTGGTTTTTATAACATGTTATATTGACCGATATAAGAAGAAAACTTGTGGCATCAATTTTTGTAAATTGATGGAACAATAAACATGTAAAATCATTTAAAAAAAAACGATGTAAGAAGATTTTTTTTACATAATTTTTTTTTTTTTTTTAAATGATGTTAGAAGAGAACTTTTTAACATCATCTTTAAAAATTCGGTGTGAAATAGAGTCAATGTTACAAGTTTGTTATTACATCAGTCTCTTTAATAATTGATGTGACAGAATTTTCCAACTCGCTTTTCCATCAATCCAAATCTTATATTTTGCGTTATTACATCAATTTCAGAAACCGACGTACAAGTTTAGTCTTTTCACATCGATTTTCACATTTGTTCTGAACCGATGTGAAAAGACCAGACTTTCTATATCAGTTGATGTAATGTAGTTTCATAAACCAATGTAAGAAGTTAGTTTACTTAATGTAAAAAGTGTTTTTTTCTATTAGAATAAGAAGAATGAAATCAAAATTAGTCAAGGTGAGTCTTAATAGGTAAAATATGGCCAAAAATCTTTTGAGAATTTGTCTACTAAGATGCATCATTATTATCTCATCATTATGCAAATGTTGGTAGTATATGGTGTTGTAGAACACCTTCATACATGTGATACATGGGACCACCAAAGTAACCGAAAAGCCTTCCACAAATGGTCTTGTGCTACTTTATAAAATACTAGTACAATTCTTAATCTGTAATTAAAAAAGTCAACACATAAATAAAGGTCCAAACCATAATAAGTAGACATGGGTCTATAAGTTATTCTTATTTAGCCACTTAGAGTTGAAAGTAATTGCATCAAACAAAAAGATTGTCACAAATTTCATCACAGCACCCTATTTTCCATCCTTGGTAGGCCCTTTCTTGACTCCCACTCTCTCCGCATATGGGTCTCACCCCTTGTGCATATTGATATAATTCATGGAGATGTTACTGTCCCGTTATGGAACCATTCTGTCGGGATTTGTAACCGTTAGATCAACTATTTCTGACACTTACCTGATGGTCTGACGGTTACAAACCCCGACGGAATGGTTTCATAACGTGACCATATTATTTCTCTATAATTTAATCAACCCAAGAGAATTGGGGAAGTGTGTGTGGTCTCACTCGATGAAGCGCACCATAAGAGGGTGAGCTTAGATGCTTAGTAAGGTGTCATCTCAAAACTATTTGGTGATGGGAGAAGTAGTCCACTAAGCTTATATACTAGGCTCATTTTTCCTATATAATTAATGTGAGACAACTCACAAGTAATATTCCAACACACCCCCTCACTTGTGGCAGACGGGTAGAGAGGGTCATTGCAGGTTCTAGACAGTCCGTTTCGATAAGATTAGACCGGGGGAAGAGGGTATGGTACCATAAAAGAGTGGACCTAAATGCACATTAGTGAGGTTCCATCCAAAAACCAATTGGTGATGAGAGGAGTAGCCTACTAGGCTTATATACTAGTCTCATTTTCCCTATATAATCAATGAGAGACAACTCACAAACGATATTCCAAACAGTACATAGCAAATATGTATATTGACTCACTAGGTCCCTGAGTAGATGTAAGATGCAAACAGTTGTAAGAAATTAAATAAAATAAAAATAAAAATTAGAGCACTGATTAGTTTCTGAAATTATATATTGATCCATGTTTGTATTCACCTTAGTCCTGGAAATGCAGAGTGATGAAATTACACAAATTTGATTCTCAAATTCTGCTCATGAGGCTCATAATTACTACTTATTGCATTTTTATGTGCACATCATTTTAACAGTGATCACCATTTGGTATTAAAAAAAAAAAAAA